TGAGGGACCTACTGAAAGCTGACAACAAAACAGGACAACTGAGAAAAACTGGCACTCTAAAATTTACATTAAATATATCGTAATGGCAATTCACTACTGGAAAATTGAAAGCCTATGGTGCAATAAAGGTAACTACAGCAAAAACAAAATTCAGATCCAGCTCAATTCCTGACTTATTTGACCCAGTCCCCAACGCTAATGGCCTGGAAAAGGAATGCCTATTTCCAGTAAATATAAATATTACTTACCTCGGTTCCTACTGTTCTTTTACATAAAATATTTACCATTTAATAAAAAATTATGAGACACACAGAAAAGCAAGTGAACTTGAAATCAACAGAAATCCAAACCAATAGTAGGAATATTAAAACATAATTACAAAAACAAAAAACAAAACAGTTATCCAAGCAACATGGGGCAACATCAAATGATCTAACAAATATACAATTGTAGTTACAGAAGGAGAGGTCAGAGAGGGGCAAAACACATGTTTGAAGAGATAATGGCCAAGAATTTCCAAAGTTAATGAAAGACAACAAAGCACAAATCTAAAGACTCAGAGATCCCAACAGGATTTTAGCCCAAATGAGAAATATAAGAAAAAAAAAAGTAGGCAAATTATTTTCAAATGGTTGAAAACACAAGATAAAAAGAAAATCTTGAAAACAGAGAAAAAAGAAACAACAGAGAAAAAATATAGTACTATAAATAAAACATGATATAGCAGACTTTTCAAAAGGAGCTACAGAAGCCAGAAAAAAAAAAAAAGGAACAGCATCTTTAAAGTATTAAAAAAACAAAACAAAAACAAACTGCCAACCTAGGATTCTATACCCAGAGAAGAGTTTTTCTTAAAAAGAATATCTTATTAGTTTGCAAGACTGCCTTAACAAAATACCACAGACTAGGTGGCTTAACAAAGAAACTTATTGTCTCACAGTTCTGGAAGCTGCAAGTCCAAGATCATGTGTCAGCAGGCTGGTTTCTTCTGAGGCCTTCTTGCTGTGCCCTCGCATGGTTTTCTCCTCTGTGACCACAAACTCCTGCTGTCTGTGTGTGTGTCCTAACCTCCTCTTCTTGTAAGTAAACCAGTCAGATTGGATTAGGGCCTACTCTATCAGCCTCATTTTAACTTAATTACCTCTCTGAAGGCCTCATTTCCAAATACAGTCACATACTGTATGTCAGGATTTTAATATATATTCATCCCATAATACCCTGTCCTCTGTACCCTTAAAATTCATGACTTTCTCACATGCTAAGCCCATAATACAGTGGACTAAAAAATCTTAACTCATTCCAGCATCAACTGTAAATCACAAACCTCATCTTTAATATCTCATTCAAGTGTGGGTGAGAGTCAAGGTATGATTCACTCTGAGGCCAAATTCCTCTCTAGATGTGAACCTGTTGAGACCAGTTATCTACTTCCAAAATACAGTGGTGGGACAGGAAAAGGCTTGACATTCCTATTCCAAAAGGGAGAAATTAGAAAGAAGTGAAAGGTATTATGGGCCCTAAGTCCAAAATCTAGCAGGGAAAATTCTATCAGATTTTAAGACTTGAGAATAATCCTCTTTGGGTGGATGTTCTGTCCTCCTGGCCCACTGGGGCGGCAGCTCCACCCCTCTGGCCCTGGATGGCAGCCTGGTCTACTGAAACCATGGAGTCAGCCCTGCCCTTCGGAACCAAGGAGGAAAAGTAGCCTTACTTCCCAGACCTGTGCCTTCTGGGCTGGTGTATTGGCTGTCTACAAGAAACTAACTTTAAAGACAAAGCTTAAATTAAAAAATGTATGGAGAAAGATTTACCATGCACTCACTAACCTAAAGAAAGCTAGAGTGGATAAGTTAATATCAGACAAAGCAGACTTCAGAGTATGGAATATTTCCAGCTGTGTAGAGAGACATTATATAATGAAAAAGAGTCAATTCATCAATAATACATAACAACCCTTAATGTGGATGCACTCAATAAGAGCATCAAGATACATATAGCAAAAACTGGTAAGGTAAGAAAAATAAATTAACCTATAAATTTAGCTGGTGTGGTAGCCAGCCTCTAAGAGGACAAAGGAAACAAAACAATTCTGGAAAATATTCAGATATAAGGTTTTATTTCTATGGGTCAGGCCATTGCAGTTTACAGGGTTATGACTCAGGATGGAGTCTAAATGGTTCCCGACATCAAAAGTCAGATTATCCAAAGCTACAGAATAGTACTAAGGAAACTGTCTTGGGTTGCCAAATAAACAATCAGCTAAGCATTTACTATACATTCTCTATATGTACACTACTATGCAAGGCACTTTAGAAATACAAGACATTATTCTGGCTGTGAAGAAACTTATTTAGTTGGAGAAGAATCACAAATATGAAATACAAAAAATAAATATGCAGAACTCACTAGAATTCACTCACTCATTAAATTACTAAGCAATTGGTACTTGTTGATGTGGTGCTAATTTTAGGCAAAATTATAATGAAATAATAATATGTTTGTGTCCTCAACAGATAGATGGCCTAGAATGAGAAGACATTCAGTGTTCTAGGTACCACAGAAGCCCTAAAGAGGGAGTGGCACACTCTGCCTGGGGTGTCAGGAAAGAATGCCAGAAGAGATGATGCCTGAGCTAGAGTTTAAAAATTCAGATTCCTATTGAGGCATTCCCCAAGGAGACAAGGAAGGGAAGGGCACACCACACAGAAGGGTCAGTATAAATAAAAGCACATTTGTATGAAAACTGAAAGTAGTTTAACAGTTTAAAAAACTGAGTGGTTGGATATGCTTCAAGGATAGAGTGAGGAGAGATGTGCATTTAATAATTAGGACAACTGAAAGGCCTTATATGATATAAGAGGTAAGGACTTTATTCTTACCTGTCTACCTTCCACTTCCCCTCTCATTCAACAAATATTTGAGTAGATACTTTGTGGGAGGCATTGTTCTTGGTACAGAGGGTACAGCCTTGATAAAGACAGACAAGGCCCCCATCCTGTCCCCATGGGGATGTGACTGGGGAGAGCGTTGGTGACAGTGAAAGGCACGCAGAGTGGAACAACACAAACATCAGTCACAGAAGGCTTTATATTCCCCCAAATACAAGCAAAACACACAGACATAAAATAAGCCAATATGCTTATTGGGCATTGATTCTTATGCTTCTTGGGGTTCAAAAACTCAAATCAAACGTTGGTTACTTTCATAGGCAAATCATTTTGTATTATTAGAGGCCAGCTTTCTCAAAGCCTGTATTATTCCCTGAAATTCTTCCTAAGGGTGAGATGGCAGAAAATTGGTTGGTTTCTCCACCAATCAGCAGCTATGGAAAAGCTTATAGAAGGTGGTGTTAGTTACTGTAATCCTTTACTGATGACGTAAATCACGTGTTTCCCAGGGAATAGTGCTAATGATACAATTTCACACACCCCAAGCAGTAACTTCAGTAACTGAAACACAGTCTTAATCAAGGGGAAATGTGGCAATATTAACACAATTCATGTATGTGAGCAAAACTGTTTTGAGGCTTACAGTAGCTTAACTGTAACATAATATGAAATGGCAAGACAAAATTTTCTGAAAAATTCTTATTTTGAAATTTTCTATTTTGGTTTTACCCTGAAGATATTTTTTTCCCTTGGAAAGACTGTCTTAAGTCCATGGAGGCATATTTGAAAAACAGGTCAGAGCAAAAATACTTCCTCCATTTCAAAGATAAGCTGTTTTACAAAGAAATTATTTAAGCTTGTTAAACTTTAATACATCAGTATATTAGTGCTTTAAGAAGCACTGTTTTTCTGCAAAATCTTGAAGTAAAAGTTTCAAAAATTCACTAGGCACATGTGCACTGCTTCCAGGGAGCTTTCAGCTGTAATTTCACTACATGGTTACTAACATCCAAAGGTGTCATTATGAATTCAGCTTCATTCTGTCCTTTACATTTTTCTCTCTTTCAGAAAGAAACATGCCATATTTGAGAGGCAGGCTTTTTCTCATCAAGTAAGTAAGGTGCGTAACTAATTAGGCTGCTGATTATGTTGTCAGGCAGTAAGTAAGACTGCAGTTTGCATCTCTCCAAACCGTGGGCTGCTATCACTATCTTAAATGTCACACCCTGGGAAGTTTTGCAATTTAACACAATTTCCTTCATACATTATGAGGACGCAAATAATGTGTAGTAAATAGAAAAATATTTAGCTGGAAAACACCGTACAGCTCAAACTTCTGAAGAAGAGTTTTAGTAAGTTTACAACACCAGTGCATTTAAGTCTTTTGGTTGGTGTGATCATAGTCTACGAGGAGCAACATATGTCATCAACCCATCTGCAGACTAGGAACAAAGGAGCTGAGAATTTGTGTTTTAAAATTCTTCTATTTCTCTTTCTGTTCATTCAGTTTTTCTTCTCTTTCCTTTCCATGTCTGCTCTCTATTGCTATCCTCATCCTCTTTTCTTTTGTTTCTTTTATTCATGGTTTTAGCTTTTTCATTTCTTTACTGAACCAAAAAACAAAAATCACTGGAGTTTAACAGGCAACAGTAAACAGGAAAATTAGCATCAGGGGTAACCTCAGCTCACTCATCTAATGGTTTTTTTATTTATAAACTTAGTTGTAATCCACACTTGCCTAGAAACACAAAAAGGTACATGCCACTGACTTGTCAAGAACCCCACATCCAAATACTCCTACCTCAGGCTTTCTTTCCCTCAGGGGCCATGATTATTAGTGGCCTTGCATCTATGAACCCATGGGCGGCATGTTAACAGACTGTCCTTGACCTCTCCCTTCCAAGCTAGACCTTTTTGATATTTGAGCAAGTTACACCAATGAATAAAATGGCACTTCCTTCAAACGGTAATGCCTAGTATCTGCTCAAGAACTGACCACTGCTGAGCATCTTGAAACCGAACACTGAATTCCCCAAGGTAGCTGCTACTGCATCAACCTAAATAGCAGCTGGATTTAATAAGGTCTTGTTCAAGTTCAAGTAAGGGCCTTACCTGTTCCTGGGTCATCTTCTGCAGCTCACTCTCCCAAGCTGCCTGGTCATCGTCCAAGTTATAGGAAGCCGGTGCAGGGAGTCCACGAAGGATCAGGGGGTCGCGGTCATGGCAGAGGGCTGTCAGGTGTCCAATATACAACTTTAATTTGCTTCTATTTTGGTCGAGTTCTAAGAGGGGCTGGATGATCTGAGGTGAAAGAAATGAGGAAAGTCAAGGTCAATCTGGAATGAGAAGTTCAAATACCTTTATGCCTTCCAAGGCAAAAAAAAAAATGACCGAAGACTAAAGCTCTTCTATTCACTGTTGAAATCTTCAGGATCACAAAGAGAAACAGCTCTACACACTTGCACAACTGCACTGTCATACCCAACCACCGCCCGGGAGACAGGTGGGGAGTGCTGGCTTGGCATGTCAGCATGAGCCTCAGAGTGCTGTGTTTAGCCAGGGGATTAAGCACGGGACTAACTTGTTTTCACAGTGATGACAGTCCTGATACAGAAAGACTCCAGTTACCTCACAGTTTCTCTTCCCATTTATTTATGAGGAGGTTACAAAAAACTGCTAGTGCAATTTGCTCATCTGAAAGCCTGGACAATATATACTTCATGTGCTCCTCCAGCTCCTGGAACGGAAGAAAAGTCCTGTCCCTGGAGAAGGTGCATGTTTTCCTTGGCAAAGAGCTGTGGTGAGCGAGCTCATTCCTAAATCGGCCTGATCCTGGCTTAGGCCCCCCTCCCGCACTTCACACAGGCTATCCCGTATTCCTTCCAGACAATGATTGATAAGCCCTTATGTAACAGCAAACACCTGACTCACAGCCAGGAACTCTCTGAAATTCCCGCACTTAAAGCATTGGTTCTGTTTTTCTTGAGTAACAGTCCTACTCTAAATATTTTTCTTGGGGGGGTGGGGTACTCCCTTCACCATGGATGGATGACTGTCCCCGACTTCCTCTGGAAGCACCGTTAAGTGGCAATGACTGCTGCCTCAGATGTCCCTTTGACAGCTCCCCTGACACTCCTCTGGTCAGGTACTGCAGCTGGTCAGAGCCTGGGGTGCTCAGGAAGAGCTGGGCCAGATCTCACATCTCAGAAGAGTGAGATGTTAGTGCAGCATTTGCTTGATACACAGCAGCTGTGAGGGCTGCAAAACCCTGCCAGAATGCTGGTGATGCTCAAACGGATGCCAGGGCTTCCAGGGCAGAGGTCTGCACCTGCTGCGTGTCACTCGGCGGGCATCTTTCATCCACAGGACACCTCCAACCCCCCTGATGGATAAGGAGCTCAATCATCTTGAGTCGCCAGAAGCCAGGCCCCATCTTACTTTCAACAGTGACACTGATTCTCGCTGGCCTCCTCAGAGGGCTGGTCCTGCTACTTCCCATTATTTCTTTTAAAGAGTTTCTACATGAATAAAGTTTTGTTTTTTATTATGAAATCAGTACATATTATACTCTGAAAAATAGGGGGGGTAAAAGTATAAAAGAAACAATCAAATAGTTGATAGGTTTCATCAACAATACCATCTCCCAACTCTTTTTATAAACTTATATAAATCAATTTTTAACAGTATTATATTTTACATTTTGCTCGATACACTGTTTATTTAAATGCATTTCATGCTGAAGTGCTGATTAAAAGACATGATAGTGTTTTGCACTCTGCATTTTTTCAAAGTTCAATTTTCAAAAAGTTAAAAAGTGATGGAATTGGAAATTTTTTTTCAGGATAAGAATTCATTCTGTGCAATGGCTAAGCTGTCTGTCCTTTCTTCCCATGTCAAAGGAAATTGCTTTAAAACAAAGCAAAACAAAAAATTATAGAGTTTATTATGTGAAAGTGTATGTAACTGCCCAACTAGCATAGTTCCTAAACATATCCACACAAACAACAACAACAACAAAAACACTCTGGCCTCTCCGGGATGCATTTAACCATGTCCATCATGTCAGAAATGCCCTTATCTCTTTCCTTTCCTCCACCTAACTTGGGCTACTTAAAAGAGAAACTGCATTTCCCACAGGTAGAACTGCCGCTGCCTAGTCTCCACAGGGAAGAGTCTCCACACTTGCCAAGTAGAAGGACAACTTACAAGGAGCTGTAAGTTACGTCTCTTGTCTACATACAACCTTGGTACATTCGCAAGGGGTCCTACCAAAAACCATCAGAAATGTGGTCAGACCACATCAGTCTACAGCTGTGCAGAACAATGTCTTTCTTGGCAAAAAGAAGTTAAAAATGAACTTGTCAAGATAACCTCTGCTTGTATCAAATATGCCAAAATGGCATATTCCCCTAATCCCACATTTACCAAGTTGTTAAGGAAAATAATTTAAATTATAAAAAAGGATGAGAGATTTTTAGTTGACATACTGAGAATTTTGCTGCTTCTTGCAAAGATTTATTTGCTTATGTATTAGATTTAAAGCCTTGATTTGACTTGAGAGGCCAGCATTTGATGACATATGGTGACAGAGGACAGTGATCTGAAGGTGTTCATTTTAACCTTCTTTCTACTTAAATAAGGCTAGATGGCTGAAGATCCTTGGGAAGACAGATGAGTTGCTCCTGAACTGTTCAGTAGAGGCTATAACTGAAAATTCGATAGTATTACACTTCTGCAACTATCTATGATATGAACACACTTTCTCAGACCATTTGACTTCTCAATTTCAATATGGAATGTGCACAGTGAAAGGCTCCCTCCCACCCAATTGCTTTCTTCTTCCCACTCGACTGTCCCTGTGCCAGACGTTTACACTATGCAATGTTAGTTGGTTGTAACATATCCTAGGAACTCATTTTGAGAGAAATGGTCTATCTTCCCTATAAAGACTGGATGAATTAGGTACTGAGTATTATTTGGAACTTAAGGTACTTACACTTGGGTACTAATGTTTTGTTGTTAGGAAGCTGACACTTTTTCAAAGCTAACATTAATTGGTCATTTACTGTGTTCCTGGCAAATTATTTTTAAATTTACTGTGATTCTTCTGTGGATAGCTCTCACTGCCTGTAACTGGCTACAAAATCTTTTTATTCTTCCCATTTGCTGAAGTCTTCAGAGAAGGGTTCACCTGCCCAGGTAGGAACTGCACAGATGTAGTTCTGACCTCTCACTGGGTCACCATGACAGTGGCCCTCAGCACAGGCACCTCAAGGAAGGTCCCCAGCAACTGACACAGTAACCTTCCTTCCAGAGACATGCTTCTCTTAAAGGGCATTCTTGGCCAGAGGTTCCAGCAAGAAGCTAAACTCTGAAAAGTAAAAAAGGCAGTGAGGAAATAAAATACATCAATCCAGCCTCAGCCTTTTTTCCCTTAATAACTAAGTTTATCTTCTTGGTCAATAATGCACTTCAGGATCAGAAAGATGAAAGACAGTGTAAAGCCTCTTTACAAAGGTCTGGAGCTTTCTGTTCTCACTTAAATACAGCTACTTTGTGACAGGATAGAGTTCTTTGAAAAAAATGTAGTAAATGTTTGTAATATTTTTGCTACACTGATCAGGTATACTGCATATCAAATTACATAGATTGAAACAAAAAAATTACATAACTCACTTAACAAACATTTAGTGAATGCCTGTGTATGCCATACTCAGTTTTATGTGATGGAAATATTAAGGTACGGTCCTACTCTACATTTAAAAAAAAATCTTAAAGTGATGTAACTAATGTGTTTGGTATGTAAGAGAATTAAAATGTTTAATTCATGATTTATTTTTAACTTTAATTTTGAAGTTTACTTCAGGCAAACCCTTAAACTGCTAAAGTAAACCCTTTGCCTTGATCTGATTCTTAGTCTTCATATAGAAGGTTATGAAATTAAATAAGTTTTTTATTCCTATTGGTCTCTGATATCCAACCTTTTAACTAGCCTTCTCTTGTGAAACACTAACAGAAGGATAATTAAGGAGTCTGTAAATGTTTTTGGTGTTATGGTCCTTATTCATTTTTAATCCCAACAAATAGAAAACATATATATTTGAGAATAGTCTTCATTTTATATTCCTTCTATAAGAGACACACTGGTCAAAAAAGATGCCTAGCAGGTTTGTAACATCATAATAACCTATAAAGACCTGAAAACTTCAGAAGAGCTTAAAAGACACACCTATATAATCTCCATCAAAATACAAACCTCATTGTTAACATTGAGAATCTGGAAAATTTCAGTAGCATTAGACTGAGTCTGTGCTTAGCTAGAAGGCTATAGTCATTGAAAAAAAAATTCTATTACAACATAGCTGTCTTTCCTTTAGGGGTAAGTCAATAAACATAAAATTTTAGGAAAAATTAAAGATTATCTGAAGTTAAAGGCAAGAAACTTCAGAGTTCTAAAGCATAACCCCTACTTCACAATTACTTTTCATGTATATCTACTTGACTACTCAAATTTTATAGAATGTGACTATCTTACATTTATCTTCCAAAACAAAAATTAAAAATTGTGACATGACAGAAGCAAAAAAAATACAGAATATTACTTATATTATAAATATTTACTAAGTACTTAGAATATTAGTTCTATACTAAACAGATCCCTTCCTCAACATGTCTTACAGATGACCTATTTTAAAATAAATAAATGTATATATATATTTTAAATTAGGGTATCACTGATATACAATCTTACATTAGATGACCTACTATTATTGTTTAGTTAATGAAATACTTGGACCGAGGAAAATCACTTAATTATTTAACCTAAGCTAACTTAATCTAACCTAATATAACTAACCCTCTTACTCCCTTATCCATACACTGGTGACAAGATTCTCTCACTGACCCAACTTCAGTCGGGCTCCTCTGAACTCCCTACTCGGTGAGGTCTAACTTTTGGACTTGTGTGTTTCTCTCTAGATTGACCACTTCTAGCATGAATTCTGCTACGTTGGTTTATCAAAAATCTCCCATCCTCGAAATCTGATCACCCTCCACACCTGGTTAAGTGCCTCACCTTCTACCCACCCCTGGTAACAATGATCACAGCAACTGTCCTGGGCAAGAACCCTGTTAGGTGGGTTCAGCCAGAACCCCCCCTTCTCCCTGATGCTTTCTCTTAGTGTCTGTCCACTGCCCCCTGCTCCTTGGCTATACCTCCCACTTTTCCTTGTGTATTTGGAGTGGAGTACAATCTTCCTCACCCACTGTAAATTTCCACTGCAGTGATCCCTATACCTGCC